TTATTTTTTAAATCCTTTAAATATAATGCTTCGCCATTTTCCTCATTTTACTATACTTATATGTAGATATTTTTGTGTTTATATGTCATTTAGGTATATAATGAATGGTGTATGTATGTATGTATGTTGGTCTATGTATGTTTATATGGCTTAATGCAAATGTGTGCTGTATGGTGTATGTATTTGAGTTTTTGCTATGCTGTGTATGTTTTTGATGGCTATATTTGTATGTATATATATTTCTAATATTATTTAATATACTTTTGCTGTTTTTGTTGTTCTATTTTCTGCTACAACGCACCTAAATGCCTGTTAAATTGCCCACAATGCAGTTCTCACTTTTTGTATAATTTTAATTTTTTTTCTCAGAGTATAAGACATTTATTTAAATAACTTATTGTTGCCTCTTACTATTTGTTACATATGTAAGTGTGTGTATATATTTTTTCTCAGTGTATACATACATATATCTGTTTCGAAAGTGTTGTACAATTTTTTATTTTTTTGTTGTTGTAGTTTTTAATATCAATAACTGCTTAGTTTGTAGTTTTCCTTTGATTTTGTATTCATTATTTTATAATTAATTGTTTTGAATTTTCACATCAAACTTTTTAGTTCCGTACTTTTTATAGTTTCAACAAAATTTAATTATTATTTACAATTTAGAAATCTAAAAAACTTAAAAAAAAATAAACAATTTTTAAAAAATATAAAATAAAAAAAAATATATATAAAAACAATATTAAAAAAAAACAAAAATAGCTGATCGCTTTCACTATGCATACATTGACAACTAAAAGCACAAGCTGCGCTTAAACTTTTGAAATATATTTTTAAAAAATTTCAAACTATAAAATTATTTTTCTTTTAACAATACATTAATTTTTCAGACAGCAAACTCGCTTACCTTACTCTACGCTTAACGTTCGTTCCCCAATAGAGAACAACGAAAGCGCGCTATACAAAGCTTTCACTTTGTTTATATATAACTCATTTGTTAATTATGCTCGTTCATATACACACAAAGCCTTTTGGGCTTGTTACACTCTGAGCTCACCTAAAAGTATGCGCTTAAAAGCTTTTACAATTTAAAGTTGTGTAGTGAAAGCTTTGATTCAAAATGCTCGTTTCCAAAAAAAAAAAAAAAAGCGAGTAAGCTACTGTGTTTGAATCAAAAACGAAATTATACTTTTTTGTAAGAAATTGTAAACAAATACATATATAAAATTTTGTGTTTGAAGACAATTGCACGCTTTTTTAAATATTATTTTGACATGAAAGCTTAACATAAGCGCTTGATCCTCTATAATTAGAGGTTCTTCGCAACCATGCAACACGAAAATTACAATCAACGCTAGCAAAAACAGTAATCGTATAAGCGTATTTAAAATTTTAAATAATTCTTTAGAACTTTGAAAGCTTAAGACGTTTTTTGAAGTTTTTTACAGTTTTCAAAAGTGGAGTTACACTTTAGGAAAGCTGAAACTCTTGGTAAAGCTTTTAAAAATTCAAATCTTTTGTGTATAGCAATTTTATAGATCATAGAGCATACTAACCATGCGAGTTTAAAGAATCGATGCAAGCTTTCAAAGATAGTAGAAAAAAGCATTGATAGCGCAAATAAATATTTACATTCTAAGCCATTTTTTGCAGCATAAAGTACTACAATACAAGCACCAACTTTTAAAATTAAATCGTTTTAATGAGTCGGGTTTGCAAAGCTTTTAAGCTTAAATGTTTTAGAGAGCTTTTTTGTAGGTATCATAATATTTTCAAGAGCTTTTTTGGAACGATGCAGAACATATCTATAACATACATTTAAGCGATTGTGGATCTTCAAGCCATACATAACTCAAAGCCAATTAACAACTTTTTTATTAATTCTCAAATTAGCAAACATTATGAGTTGTTAATCAAATTTTTTGTAAAATTTGTGAGCATTTTGTAACAATTTTCAATGTAAATGCAATGGAGGGATGTGATTAATGACATTACTTGTGATATTTTTTAAATCTTACAACTAACTTCACTGCATAGAAGTTTGTGTTATTTTCAATTGCTTTGGGACTTTATAATGAATGAAGAGAGGGTTTTGG